TCCCCAGCCCCCCCTCGCTCTCCCCTCCACTCTTTGGGGCCTCCCCTCCGTCAACAGGCTTGTTTCCGTTTTCTTTTTAGAGCTAATACGTACGTATGTATTTTAAAAATAGTTCAGTACATTTCTTTTACGCGGGGTGGGGCAAAATTAGGTTTACAGCTGTGAGGACTCGAAACAGTTCGTTCTGGCATTAATTATTTTATTATTTTCCACACGGAGAACTGTAAAGGTGCTTTTGCCCCACCGTGTACTTGAACGTGATTCTCAGACATGTCAAATGAAACACTGAGGTGTCTTTATGTTCAGCATCGGATAAAGCCAATATCATAGGCACCTTTGATGTCCGGACGCTTGCTGTTTCCCGGGCCTTGGGGGCCAGCGTTGTGACGCCCACAGCCTGCGGCAGGCGGGTCTTCGCCGGCCCCAGTGAGGAAGCCTGAGGCGCAGGGGGCCGAAGGTGGCCGAAGGTGGCCCTGCAGCGGAGCCCGCCCGCGGCCGCCACGGGGCTGCGTGGCCCTGAGCACCCCGCTCCACCCCTGCTTTGCACCCAGCAATGCCCACGGTGGAGTCAGGACCCCCGAAGTGAGACTTACAAAGAAAGCTTCCTTAGCAAGGTTTTTGGGGTGGTGGTGGTGGAGCTTGAAGCTTCTTTTTAAAAATACGTTTTTATTGATTTTAGAGAGAGAGGAAGGGAGAAGGGGAGAGAGAAAAGAACATCGATGGGAGAGAGAAACATCAAAGGGCTCCCTCCCGCACGCCCCGTACTGGGGATGGAGCCCAAAACCCTTGGGTAGGTGGGGCAACACTCAGCCAACGGGGCCACACCAGCCAGGGCAAGAGGGTGGGAACCTTGACTTCAGGAAACACACGTCCCTCTAGGGCTTAAGAGCCTTGGCAGTAAAAGACACCCCAGGTGGAACTTGGAGAGCCTGCTGAAGGTGTTTTACCTCCCGCTCTGCTTTAGGTAACGTTCCTTTCTCTTAGGAAGCCATTCTCTAGAGGAGATGGTCATGAGAAAGGCTCCGAAAACCTGAGATGTCCCTGTGCTTTAGGTGGCACTTGGAAACCTGAGAAGCCTCTCTCGTGATGAGGGGGAATACACAACTGATATTCTTTCCAAATGGAAAAATAAATTGTAGAAGTTGGATAGCAGTTATTTGACAAATTCACAAAAATTATTTACAGAAAAGAAGTAAAAAGCCATAAAATTGACTTGGCGGAGGAAGACAGTAAGCTGGGGGGACTGACCTTTCCAGCTTGGCCTGTTTATTTATTTAGTTTTAAAATATGTTTTTGTTGATTTCAGAGAGAGGAAAGGAGAGAGAGAGAGAGAGAAACATCAATGATGAGAGTCATTGATCGGCTGCCTCCCGCACGCCCCCTGCTGGGGATCGAGGCCTGACCGGGAATCGAACCGTGACTTCCAGGTTCCTGGGTGGACGCTCACCCGCTGAGCCAGGCCAGCCGGGCCTGTTTATTTACTTTTAAGTTCATTCTACGGAGGCCTTAGCGCGTGTTGGCTTTAAAGGTTAACTCATTCAGGTCACATTTTGATCTAGAGGAGGGAGATGGATTATTCAGCAAGTGATGTGGGGATTACTAACTAACCATTTGGAGGAAAATAAAGTTAATGATCAACGTCGCCTGATAGGTCAGAATAAATTTCAGAGATTAAATATTTACATGTTAAAAAGAAGTCATAAAAGCAGTGGACAAAAACGTGGGTGATTGTTTCTATAACCTTGGCAGCGAGGAAGGTTTTTCTAAGCATAACTAACTGGTGAGAAAAAAGAAAAAGATTGAAGGATTTTATGTAAAACTTTTGAAAGTCAAAAAGGACCATAAACAGAAGAGGAGAGACAGAGCTAAAGTATTTGAACTATATCTATAAAGACATATTTCTTAGAAAACACTGAGGAAGGTAAACAAAACAAACAAACAGAAGGTAAACCACGCAATGGGCTCGAAGGGATGCTTGTCAGTCTCCGCGATGTTGGTCTCTCCCCACAGTTCCTGCTCATATTCCACAAGGCGGCCGCGGGGGAACTGCAGGAGGAAGGTGGGCTGATGGCCCTGGCCAAGCTGTCCGAGATCGATGTGGCCCTGGAGGGCGTCAAGGGTGCCAAGGACTTCTTTGAAGCCAAGGTAGGTGGCTTCTTCCTGTGCCGGACGATCGCCCCCTCCCTCCCCCTCCGGACAGGAGGTCCCAGTTAGTGACTCCAATGAACTCCCTCAGAACAAGCTTAGGCTAGGTCGCGTACGGTTGCAGGGGAATGAGAGCGTCTGGGTGCAATCTGCAAATTAAAAACAAAACAGGAAAACAACCGAGTGCTAACTGCATCAGACCCTGGTTTCGGATTCCAATGGGTTTGCTGGCACATTCCCAGATCGACTCTTGGTCCAGACTTTCCTAAGGAATTCCTCCCTATCCCAAGCCACAGTTGGGTTACTTGGACAGCTACCTCCATGCCGGCACCTTCTCACCTGTGTCTCAACAAGTGGGTAATGGGGCCAGAGGAGGGAGCCTTGGACTTGCCCCAGATGTGCTCCACTGACAATGGCTGCGAGTTGGGAAGGAATCTGCGGTGCATGGTCTTGGATCTCTCCTGGGTGCTCCCATTCTTTCACATGTTCATCCAGCCATTGAACATCTATAGAGAGCCCAACCCTTGCTGGGCGGTCATTTTCGTCTCTGCAGAGCACACCTGCAGAAAGGGATCAGGAGAGCCCGCCGAGGCCCCTGTCCACCACAGCAGTGGAGTGCAATGGGCGTGGCTGCCTGGTCTCAGATTTTGCCTCCTGTTCCCTGTCTGTGTCTCAGTCTCCTCATCTGTACAATGGGGGTGATCACGGGATTGCCTTGAGGATTACATGAGCTCACATGTACATAAAGTGTTAAGCAAGTAGCTGGCTCACTGTGAGTACTCCGTAGGTGATATGAGCTGTTGGGACTCCCTACCGCTCCAGGCAGGAGCCAGCCTCGTGTGTGGTTTTGGCTTATTTCACTAGTCTGCCCAGAGACAGGGTGTCCTTGGCAACACATTCCAGCCTGCTGAGGCCCCTGAGCTCGACTCTCTCCTCACTTATCTGTGATGCTTCGAGAAACAGTCCGTCATCTTTTTGCCAACATGTAAACAGAACCATGGTGGGCTCAGGACCTGAATCCCTACTGACAGTGTCAGGGGAAAGCCGACTGCTCCTTGGGCCTTCAACACCAGCACGCTGTGGCCCGCTCTGAGGGTGCTTTGGCCCTTCCTTCATGACCTAACATTGATTCAACCCAGTTACCCCGGCAGTGCCAGGCCCCACGTTAAGCTCAGGAGGTACAGGGTATATGTAGTAGACAAAACCTTTGCCCTCCCCAGGACAGGCACTCAGTCTGGTGAGAAAAGCAAGCTGTCACCCTGGATAGAGAGGAGGCAAGGCCTGGTTCTGGTGGGACGGGCCCTCCCCATTCATTGACTGAGTCAACACGTGCAGATCTCTTGTGATGGTGCCCTGGGCGGGGGCCTAGGACTGAGACTGATCTTAGCCGGACACTGTTTTGATTTTTTTTTTAAACTTACATTTTAAATAAAATTATTTTTTAAAAACTTGGAGCTAGGATAGGTGGTGGGAAGGAGGAGGAGCCCAGAGCTTTGCCGAGTGCTTTTGTCAAAGTCTGAAGTCTCTGGGAATGTCTTAGCTGGGCATTCACACCTTTCATAACCTAGTTCTGGTGCCTCCCCAGCCACGTCCACCCCTATGCACTTTTCTTACTGCCACGGTTTTCACGGCCTGGCCTCACACTGCTCTTTCCTCCGCGGGAAAGGCCCCATCCAGATGCCTTGCCATAGAAAACTCGACTTGTTCTTTAAGACCCCTGTTAAGGAGTTGCCTCCTCTTGGCTGTTTTCCCCGATTATCCCGGTGGAGAAATTCTGCCCTCTTCTGCCAGCCTCTGTTACGAGTGGAAGTGCTGCTGTAATTTATTTGTTCAGGGCATTCTTGGACACTTCGGGTGAGTGCCTAAACTGACCCAACTTTTTAGAGAACGGTTTGGGGCTGGCTGTTAACTTTTCATATCCTTGACCTCTGGAATTCTGCCTCTAGGATTTTGGCCTCAGAAACGCTCATGCAAATGTACATAGATATATAGACAAGGATTTGTCTGTAGCACAGTTGGTAATAGAGAAAAACTGGAAACAACTGAGACTTCCATTACCAGGGAACTGAGTCCGTCCACTACACCCACACATTCGCACACCCTGCAGCCACGTGTAGCTATGGACGGATGTCCCAAATGAATTAAGCAAAACAGCGTATTTGAAGCTCCATTCTGTAAATATTACGTACACCCTGGGTAATTATACACCAAAGTATTAGTAATGCTTGTGTCTGAGGGACTTTTTATATTTTTGTAATGTTTTATAATTATGGGCGCATTATGTTTATAACCAGGAGAAAAGATGGGAAGAACAACAAAGCTTTTTGAACGTGTTATGGGTATGCGTCCGCCTCCCCGCCCAGACTCAGAGGCAGAGTAGGTGTGTTAGCCTGGTAATTACAGTGCCGGGCACATAATGGCCCTCAATAAACATGTGCGTGAGTGACAAATGGAGGGAATCATCCCTCGAATTTGGGAGAGGGCCATAAAGGAGCTGACGTTTGTGACAGATGTTCAGAGATGAATGGAGACTCACCTTGTAATCAAGGAGGGGAAGGCGTTCCTGGCGTGGGAACGGCAGGAGCAAAGGCTCCAAGGCACGGAGGGTGAGGAGTGTCTGGAGGCTGGTCCTTGTCCGCGCTGGACGCAATTAGGGAGTTCTGGGCTCCCCTAGAGGTCAGGCTTCCCCAGCCTGCTGACCTCCAGAACCATCTGCAGGCCAGCTTCCCAGGCCCCACCCAGATCTACCTGGGATTTCTCCAGGGTGGGGCTCAGGAAATGTGGACTTGAATGAGTTTTGCAGATGGTTCAGCAAAGAGCCAGGCTTGGAAAGCACAGCTGCAGGCACAGGGGCCCTCAGAGGAGTGTGAACAGGGCCCTGACATGATCAGTGGTGGGCACTGTGGGGACTGACTTGCCTGGGGAGAGCCCAGACTTGCGACGCTTCCATAGATTCTGGAGAACTGTAGGTCCAATGAAGGTAGTGACAACGGGGCTGGGAGGAGGTGGGATGAATCCCCAGAACTCTCTGTATTTATGACCACTTGATTGGAGGTGGGACATAAAATGCCACAAGGCTTTCAGAGCTGTGTGGAGAAGGGTTGGTGATATTTTTTTTTTCCATCAGGACAGGACCTCCCCCCAGCCATGGGAATAATTTAAGGGGGAAAGTTATAAACTGGGTTTTAGAGCTAAATCTAAGGTGACCTCAGGCAAAGGGTAGGCACACCCCTTCATTTGAAGGGTACAAAGTTGGTTGCAAATAGTTTCTGTTCATGTCCTAAGGAATACCTGGGAAATTTGGAAAATATAATTTCCCAGCTCATCCCTCTAGGGTTTCTGATTTAGAAAGAGCAGAAACATCATGCTTCCTGGTAATACTCTCAGAGGCACCTGTCTTCAGAAACAGACCCCTGTGAAGGGTGGTGAGAATTCAGAAAAAAGATATAATAATTTTTCACTGAGTTGCAAAAATCTGCATTGGGCTACAAAGACGGTAAGGAAGTGGTGAACTGTAGGAAATGGTGACTCTCATCTACAGCACTGCAGAGCAGTGGACCGGGGGCGAACCACGGAGGTGCCCAAACATGGAAGCAGCTATGATAGAGAAACAAGAGAAACCAGGAGATGGCGGATCCAGGAACAGGCTAGATAAAATGAGATTATGATACATCAATTTAAGATCATAAAAAATTTAATGAAGGGAATGCTTTTCTACAAATTTAAGACAAATAGAAAACGTGATGAATTATAAAGGCATTTAGAGAGTTAATTCTCCCCCCCCCCGAAAAAAAACCCAGTTAAGTGCTGAGGAATGTAGGGATTCATTCTTCAATGTTATAAAAATTTTTCAATGTCATAAAAATAACTCAAACATATTGAAAAAGATTATAGACCACATTCACTCTCTGAATCCATTATCATTCTGATAACAATGAAGTAAAAACACATCAGAAATTTTTTTATATCAATCTAATAAATATAGCTATAAGAATCTTACAGCATTAAGAAATGGAATGATTTATAACATTTGAAAATGTTAAGACTGCAGGGATAGCTTTTTTTTTTTTTTTTTTTAATATGTCTTTATTGATTTCAGAGAGAGGAAGGGAGAGGGAGAGAGAAACATCAATGATGAGTCATTGGTCGGCTGCCTCCTGCATGCCCCCTACTGGGGATGGAGCCCGAAACCCAGGCATGTGCCCTGACCGGGAATCCAACCTCGATCTCCTGGATCCTAGGTCAATGCTCAACCTCTGAGTCATGCCTGTCAGGCAGGGATAACTTTTAAAATGTTGATATCATAGGTAGAAAAATGTGATCACTTCTGTTAGACATCTCAGAGACACTGGTGAAATTTAACTTTCATAATAACAGAACAATATTCTTTTTCAACATGATGAAAGAATGTTTATTTTCCTTATAAATATAAAGGCATTCTGTGAAGTGGTAATATTAAGTAGTGTAGTATGGGTACAGGAATAAACAAATCAGTTAGTACAACAGGATAGACAATAATAAAAACAGGTCTCCTTCATGTGGGAATTTAGCACATGAAAAAGATCATTTTCAAATCGGTGGGAACAAAAGGGGCTATTCAATAATCGGTTTTAAGACAACTGGCTATCCACTTAGGAAAGTGAAATAAAGTCCTCACTAATTATTTCCTCACTAAAATAAGTTGCAGGTGACTTCAAGAGCTGGATGTGAAAATAAAACCATAAAAGTATTAGAAGAAAATACAGGAAAATGGGTTTAGAACCTCAGGGTTTAAAACCTTCTTAAACATGACATAGAATACAAAAGCCAGAAAGGAAATGGCTGAAAAAATTGATTGCACCAAAATTTAAGAATACTTGTATGGCTTAAGCTACTTGGAAGTTAAAAGACAAACAAAAAACTGGGAGAAAGCAACTGAAAAATATTAACAAGGGATTAATACCTAAATTATGGAAAGTAAAAAAAAAAAACAGCTGAGTAGAAAAACGAGCGAAGGATACAAACGGCTAATTCACCAAAGAGGAAATAAAAGGTGCCAAATTTTTTGCCTATCAGATTGGCAAGTAGGGAAAGGTTAATTATAAGCAATGGCAAGGCTGTGGGGAAGTGAGAACCTGTGTTCAGGGTGGGGGTGTTAATGGGAACAGCTGCTTTGGAGAGCGATCTGGCGGCCTTTATTAAATAACGCCCACGCCCACCGGGCTTGCAAAGCTTACCAAACCGATGAGACCCGGAGAGAAAAAAAATCAGGTCTAGAATAGAGGGGTTTTAAGACGAATTTATCTGATATGGTATTATCGGAGATAAATTTGGTTTTTATAAAATGGCACTAAATCCCATCCACAAATACCAACAAAAAAGTTGTACTATGTGGAAGTAAGTTTAGAATGATCTATTTACAGAAAACTAAAAATTTTAGTGGGTGACATAAAAACCGCCTTGAATACAAACTGAGGCATCCCGGGAAAACTAACAGGGTAAAGAAATCCCTTTGCCACCGGAGACTGATACGACCCCAATCACAATCCCAGCGGGGAGGTTATTTTGTTGCTGTGAAATAAAAGGTAGGAAGAAGTGGGTAACAGGCCAGGCTGCTAAACAGTATCCTGCAAAAGGGAAGCGGGAAGGCTTGCGACCCCCGGCCAGCCTGGGAGGACCAAGGGGAAGGCGCGCTTGCTGGGGGCCAGCCGAGCTCTGTCGCATGGCTCTAGGCCACAGGCCCGTCTGGCGGGTGCCCCGTCTCCACGATTCTCTCGCCCTCACTCGTGGGTCGGTCTCTGCTGCCTCCCTGCAGGTCCAGGCCCTGGCCTGCGCCAGCAAGTTTGAAGCTGAGCTGAAAGCCGAGCAGGATGAGCGGAAGCGGGCGGAGGAGAAGAGGCGAGTCCGCCAGGCGGCCTTCCGCGAGCTCAAGGCCACGTTCAGCACATAGTGGGCTGACCCGGCCTCTGGCCACGGCTGTGCCTCA